GTTAACTATAAACCTCTGAGGGGGATGGGGGGGACGGGGAGATAATCATCGCGCACTGCCAGCGACCCATTGTGGCTCTGTCAAGTGTTTAACAGCGTGGTGGTGGTGGTGGTGGATGTTCACGTGTTTTTGTATTTAAACTTTTTTTTTAACTTTTCAGTTAGAAATTTTTTTGTTTGTTTGTTTTTTTTTACAATTTTTATTTTATATTTTTGCTATTTTTTATTTTTTATTCATTTTTCGTATTTAAATTGTTCTGGTTTGTTTTTAACTTGCTTTCTTGGCTCTATCGTTCGAATGTGTTTCCCAGCTTTTAGGGGTTCCCTCACTAACATCCATTCTCCTGCCTTTGCTCAAAGACGTAAAAACTAATAACAAATCGATGTTTTCTCACGAAAGAAAGAACGGCCCGTCCTTAAAGTGAAGGTTCTCTTGCTAAAACACCGCGCAGCGACACGAGAGAAGATCAGAAAAAAGAAGATCAGATTTAAAAAAAAACTAAAACTCTGGATAATATATATATGTGTGTGTGCGCGCGCGTGTGTCAATTTGCGTTTCTGTGTAATTTAGACGTGAGCTCGGGGCATAACCGTCGCCGCTGGGGTCGTAGCGCGTCAGCAGCGCGGAAAACCCAGCGGAGACTAGCGACTCCTCAAGGTGGGGGGGGGGGTCCAGGTTGGACTCCGTCTCCCCGCACGGACACCGCCTGTAATCAACGCCGCCGGTTGTAATCGACTTTGCCGGCTTCCCAAAATCCCTCAAAGATCGCCCCGTGTCGGCCCCGCCGCCTCGGTCCACTCGGCGGTGAGGAACGCGTCGAAAACCGCGGTCAGCCGACGATCGGCGGGGTCGCGTGTGGCGGCGGCGCTGCAAGCGGCGCTGCGAACCCGGCGAGCCGATGTTCCATTTCCCGCTCGCGGCTGCCACCGGCACCGGTGAGGGATCATCCGAACAGGGACCTGGGCCTCCCCTAGGTCTACGCAGCCACAAACGAGTGACCCGGTGCGACGTGTTAAAAATCATCGCTGCCGGGGAAAGACAAAGGCGGCGGGGCGCGGCGCTGGCCACCCACCCCCCTCGTGGCGCCACCGTGCCGGCCCTAACGGGTGCCACTCACGGACAGCGCTCGCCCCAACAGTCGGTCAAGGCTACACGGGGGATTCTCCGTCTCTTTGGCGGGTGCAATGAGTGGGTTACTGGTGACCTCCTCCCCCACGATGGAGGTTTGGCGGCTCTCACGAGGCCTCCCCCGAGAGTCGGAGTGGTCATTCTTCGCCTGGGGTGCCCGCACAGACCCTGAGGGACGGTGCCAGATGCCCTTTCCTGCCAGATTTTATTTTTTTCAAGGTATATCATCGAAACGAAAATAAAGCACGGGCAAGACAAGCGACAACTTCCTTCGTCGCGTCAAACCCGACGTTGTTTATTGACATCATGAATTTTTGTTTCTTGAGCGCTTCAGAACCGATGGAGTGCCGAGAGGCTTCGGCAAAGGTGAACGAGCCGATTGGTCGAGACGCGAGAGCAGGCGGGCAACTGACAGCACTTGCTTCCTTTCGTCTCTTCCCAACTCTCCGTAGTAATCATCGTCGTTGTTGTTGACGATCGGTGCCGGGTGGCGTGAACGACAATTTGCCGACCCCAAAAAAACCGAGGCGGCGTCAAATTGTGCGTGCGGTGGTTTTGAGGAAACGGCTGCTGCCGCTTTACGTGCGAGAGACGGAGAGACCCCCCCCCCCTTAGGGACCCCCCCCCACCGACTACGGGAACGAGTGACGCGTTCGGGCGGAAACGGAATAAGGAACGCGCAACTCACTCGCTCGCTCGCTCACTCGCTCACTCGCGCGGGGGAATGCGAGATCTCTTCCATTTTCAAAACACTCGCGACACTCGGTGGGGGGGGGGAGGGGGTGTGGGGGGGGCGTACACGTGACGTCGACGACGGCGGCGAACGCTCCCAAACGAAGAAAATAAAACCTCGAAACGAGAATCGTGCCGAGACTGGAAGGCGATCCACAACCCCCCCGCGCCCCCCCGCCGCTCACCCATCTCGAGGCACCGCACCGCCCCCCCCCCCCTCCCCCGCCCACTGCCCCCCGCGACCGGCCGGTCTCTCCCCGGCATCCGCCGGGTGCGGCTTCACCGGCACCGGGCGTGCGGCGGCACGAGCGGTTTGCCAACCGGTGGCGACGACGACGACGTCGCACGCGCGACACCGCGTGTCGCGTGTCGCGTATCCGGGCTCCCGGAACTAATTTAGATGTCATTTTTTACGGGACGCGACGGCGTAGAATTTCGAGGATGCGCCCCCCCGCCGCTCAACAACTCTCTGCCCGGGGGGGGTGGTGGGGGAGCCCGCGGGCGTTTCGATCGCTTGGGCCTCCGCCGTGCCGACGAAAAGATTCGCTTCCCTCCGCAACGGTGGGAGGGTCGCTTCCTGAAATAGCTCCCCGGAACGCGGAGCGAAACGTCGGACGCCGCGGCCCGTCGACGCATCGCCGGCGCAACCACAAGGCGCCACGCAGAGCGAGCGAGCGAGCGGGGTTCCTGTAGACGTTCACGAATCTTCACCTTTTGACGCAACTGCCCCGGAAGACAGTACCCCACACCCCCCCACCAAGACAGTCGGATGATGTGATGTTGGCGCCCTTTGTGGGACGCCACTGCCGCTATGGTTTGCACACATTTTTTTTTAGAAGTTTGTAATATAAACATTTTTTTTACGTATTTTTCTCTCTTCGTTATATACTTTTTTCAAATTTTTTTGTACTTTTTAAAAATAGTTTATGTATCCACGACGACATCATCTTAACGCAACGCTCAAATTTTTATGTTTTGTTAAAAACCACTATACATCATCCCACTTTTATATAAACTAAAAACAAACTTTTTTTGCAGGTTTTTTAATAGAAATTTTATAGATTTTTTTGGGGTTTTTTTTATTATTTTTTACTGTCGTTGAATATTTTTTTTTACGGCTTTTCTCTTTTTTTGGTTCGCTCCATTTTAAATGAAACACAAACCCACACACAACAAGTAACCCCCCCCCCTTGCCCCCCACCCCGCCCCCCGTCCTGCCCCCCGTCCTGCCCCCCATCCGCCCGCCGGTAAAACAACGGCCGAACCTCCCGGCAGCGACCCCCCCCCCGCCCCGTAACATTTCTCCAACGCCGCGGCACCAACGTACTCCGGCGGTTGACGGTTTCGCCGATTTTAACATCGCCCGCGAGCGCACGGGCGGGGGGGGGCGAGGTGAGACCCCGGGGGGGGGGGGAGGGGGTGAGAGACCCCGGCACCCCAAGAGGGCGGCATAAACGGCAAAGCGCCGGAGCCGACGGTGGGCGGCTCGTGCCGCGGCACCCAAATCCGGCAACCGCCAAAACAACGGCGGCGTGGCGACGGCCGCGGGCAACGCCGAGGCGACGGGAAGCTTCTCAAATCCCACGCCGCCCTCCCCGCCCCCCCGCCCCTCCCCGCCGCCACCTCTCCGCCCGCGCACAAAAGTACGAATGGGCCCGCCGCAGCGAGGTCCGACGAACGGGCGGCAAGGTTGCGTGCGCGCGACTGCGGGGGTCAAGCGCGGGGGGGGGGGGGGGAGGACTGCCAACAAAAACCCTTCCCCCGGGACATTCCGGATCAACGCCCCCCCCCCCCCCCATTCGAGGGCTGCCGCTACAGAGTTCAGAGACGCGACGGAGGGAGCGCCGTTACTCCGGGAAATCGTCGCGCCAGCGGGCAATCGCACGGGGCGTCCGCGGGGACGACGGGGATATTTACTCGACGCTGCCCCCCCAGCGTGGGTTGACTCGCGACGGCGATGACCAAGGGGGCCCCCCCCCCCCGTCACTCCTGCTGGGGCATTAGCGGCAAATCAGCTCGGCCGGGCTAATGGAGGGTGGGGGGGGAGGGGGCAAATCATAATTCTTAGCCCTCCCCTCCAAAGTGGGGGGGGGGGGGAATTGATAATAAAAAATGTCTACAGCTGTCTCCATGGTGAGGAATATTGAGAGAGAGAGAGATGGGGGGCGGGGGGGGAGGCGGGGGGTTTGTGACTTTGCTTTGTCGGGGATCGACCGCCGCATCGCGCGGAAATCACCCGGTGCGGTTCGCGCGCGTCGCGGTAATTTCCACGGTGGACATCAAACGCCGGCGAACAGCGCGGCGGCGCCGTCTTAGCGTTTCGAGCCCAGCGGGCCTCACCGCCCCCCTGGTTATTTTCTAGCGGCGATGCAATGGAAATGTTGTTGTTGTTGTTGCACTACCGCTACAACCGCTACGACCGCTACTACCCGCGCCGTCCGCTGCGAGTTAAACCTCCCCTGGGACGGCATTCTGACGCGACGGGGTCGACGCCGTCCGCCAGAAAAGTCGGTGGAGATTCCTCGCAAACGACCTGCCGCATTCCCCCGAACTTATCGTTCGAAAACGACACCGGCAAATCTGCCGACGGGGTAAGAGCCACACCGCAGCATCGCCCCCCCCCCCCCCCCGTAATGCAGACTCTGTCCGTCTGTGCCACACACACAGCGGCGGCACCTTCTTCCCGGAGCGATCGTCGCCTTGCGGCTCTGCAAGGGGCACCCGACAGACGGCACGGCGCGTCCAACGGAATCGTCCCGACGCGACTCCCGTGCCCTTGACGCTCAAACTCGAGGCCCGACCCGAGCGCTCCGAGCTCAACCATCGACGGGGGCCTCCCGCTCCGTCGATGCCTTCGCGCGCAAACTTGACGCGCGCCCACGCATATACAGGTATACATACGTACATTATACATATATACACAGGCCGCAACGAACGTGCGAGCAGGTAAAAAAGAACCAAGACAAAATCTACTCGCCGCTCGCCGCTGTCGCCAACACTCTTGGTTTCTCTCTAGGCCTCCGCCGGCGTTACCGCACCACCGCGGCCGCCGATCTCCGTCGGCAGCGGCGTCTTGAGTCCGATCGGTGACCTCATGAGAGATTCCGGTCAAAGCCCCCCACCCCACCACTCCCCCCCCCCTCCCACCCCCCCCCCACCGATCGACACGGAGCACAACGCTCCGGACGACTCCCTCGTGTAGGTCACACGGGGGGTGGCTATGGGGACCGAGGCGATGGTCGAGGGGAGGGGCTGTGATGGGGACCGAGGGGAGGGGTTGTGGGGGGATCAAGGGGAGGAGGAGGTGGGGGGGGGGAACGTATTTAGACGTAAAAAAAAACTATTAACAACGCAGTCGGCAGATTTCACGAGTCAGATAAAATACAGACCGCCGAGGTAAATCGACAGCGGACAAACCGTAAAATCCGAACTCGACCGAACCAAACTTCCAGCTGGCCGCTTGTCGACAAGTCCGTGGACCCGAGCCGCCGCCGCCGGCCACACCGACACCGCCCCCCCCCCAACCCCGCGGCTTCCCGGTGGCCGTTCACTTGAAGTAGGAGTAGTAGCCGTTGTTGGCGTGCGGGGCGGAGTCGGGACTCAGGCCCTGCAGGAAGGGCAGGCCACCGCCAGCGCCGCCGCCGCCGGCACCGGTTACCGCCGGCCCCGTCGCGCCGCCCCGGCGGTCCGCGCCGTCGGGCGGCGTGGGCTTGTGCGGAGGCGGTGGCGTGGACCGCACGGCGCAGGCGTACGACTTCACCGCCCTCGTGTTGCCGCCGCCGCTGCTGCCGCTCGCTCCGACGCCGACGGTGGCCGGCGCCGCGCCGGTGCCGACGGCGGGTTTGCCGTGAGGCTGGACGTCGGACGGGGCGGATTTGGTGGCCGTGGGTTCTGCGCGAGACGGCGGGGTGAGAAGGGTTGAGTGCGGCGATGCGACGGGTGCGGTAGATACGTCCGCGCATCATCATCGTAATCATCATCATCTTCATCGTAATCATCATCGTAATCATCATCATCGTGGTCATCATCGTAATCATCATCATCATGGTCATCATCGTAATCATCATCTTCATTATCATTATCATAATCATCATCATAATCATCGTAATCATCATAATCATCGTAATCATCATAATCATCGTGGTCATCATCGTAATCATCATCATCATAATCATCATTATCATCGTAATCATCATCGTAATCATCGTGATCATCATCGTACTCATCATCGTAATTATCATCATCGTAATCATCATCATAATCATCGTGGTCATCATCGTAATCATCATCATCATCGTAATCATCATTGTAATCATCATTGAAATCATCATCATCATCATCGTAATCATCATCGTAATCACCATCATTATCGTAATCATCCTCGTAATCATCATCATCGTCGGCATCATCATTATCATCATCGTAATCACCATCGTCATCATCATAGCCTTTAACAGGCTGTTGGGGCAAGTGCTATTAGCGAGCGCCTATGAAGGCCGGCACCGTGGCACACGAGGGGGGAGGGTGGCCAGCACCACGCCCGGCCGTCTTTGTCTCCCTCGCGGCGATGTTTACTACACACCGCCGTACCCAGATACTCCCCCCGGCATCTCCACCGACGCTGCGGCCCGACTTACTAAACCAGTTCCACCCACCCCTCTCTCTGGGACACGTGAGAGTCTGCCCAACCCCGGTCGGTCTCTTCAGCCACCTTCGGACACCGCAGACAAAGCCGACCTTTCTATGGAGGCCAATCACCATCGATTGCGAGGGATAAGCCTACGATGGTGATGACGATGGTGGAGCAGGTACGACCTAGGGAAGGCCCAGGACCGTGGGGACGGGAATTGACCCCCGGGTCGCCGGGTTCGTTGTGCGCACACACACATGGACACGGACACATGCACAGACACACACACGGACACATGCACGGACACAGACACACCCACGGACACACGGACACATGCACAGACACACGGATAGACACACACACGGACAGACACACACACGGACACATGCACGGAGACGCGCACGGACACACGCACGGACACACGCACGGACACAGACACACGCACGGACACACACACGGACAGACACACACACGGACACACACACGGACACACACACGGACTCACGCACGGAGACGCGCATGGACACACGCACGGACACACGCACGGACACAGACACATGCACGGACACACGCACAGACACACGCACAGACACACGGATAGACACACACACGGACAGACACACGCACGGACACACGCACGGACACATGCACAGACACACGCACAGACACAAGCACAGACACAGACACCGCACAGACACACGCACAGACACACGCACAGACACACGCACAGACACACGCACAGACACACGCACAGACACACGCACAGACACAAGCACAGACACACGCACAGACACACGCACAGACACACGCACAGACACAAGCACAGACACACGCACAGACACACGCACAGACACACGCACAGACACACGCACAGACACACGCACAGACACACGCACAGACACACGCACAGACACACGCACAGACACACGCACAGACACACGCACAGACAGACGAGCAAGCTCCCTCACCGGTCAGCTGAGCCGCGTGGCTGCTGTGAAGCTGTGCGGTGGAGCTCGCCTGCCTCTGGTACAGCGGCCGCCCCGCGTCTCCGTTCTTGAAGTGCAAGGACAGAGTGGAGTGGTGGGGGTGGTGGGCAGGGGGGGGGGGGGGGTGGTGTATATGGGGGGAGGGGGGGGCATAAACACAAGGGGTGAAAAAGTTTGTTGTTAATTTGTATTTCCCCACGTCCCATTGACAGATGGATTCTCGCGCCGACCGTTTATGATTTGTCATTGATGCTCTGGGATAACATTTGCTGTCCTCAAGTGCCTCACCACCTCCACCACGTACTCCACCACCACCACCCCACCACCGCACGTCCACCACCACTCCACCCCACCATCACTTCCACCACCACCACCCCACCACCATCACCCTACCACCATCACCCCACCACCACACGTCCACCACCACACCACCACCACACCACCTCCACTACCACTACCACCATGGCGTCACCTTCAAAACCACAACCCAACCACACCATCACACCATCACCACACCACCACCACCCAACCACACCATCACCACACCACCACCATCTCCACCTCCACCTCCACCAACACCACCTCCACCACCACCACCTCCCCCACCTCCACCACCACCACCTCCACCTCCACCACCTCCCCCACCTCCACGACGAGCGAACGACGATGGCCACGTGTACGTTGCCAAGGTTTTTCACCAAGCGCCGACTGTGACCGGTCGAGCTCTGCTCGCCGACCGAGCGGCGAGCAGAGCACGGTGGCTTCTCACGACAAGACGCGGCAACGGCGGCGGTGTGGCGAGGGACCGCCGCCCTCCCGGGGGCCGCCATCGTCCGCCATGGCTGCCCGCGGCGCGTCTCGTGCCCGAGCAGTGGTGACAAAGATCCCCCGTATAGCCTTAACAGACTGTAGGGGCAAGTGCTGTTAGCGAGCACCTATAAAGGCCGGCACGGCACATGAGGGGGTGGGTGGCCAACACCACGCCCGAACGCATTTGTCTCCCCAGTGGCGAAGTTTACACACCGCACCAGTACTCATTTGAGGCTGAGTCGACCTAGGGGAGGCCCAGGACCGGTTCAGATAATCGTCACTGGGTGTTGGCCGTGAGCGGCAGTGGTGACACACACACACAAGCGCGCTGACGCGAGGATGACTCGGAGAGAGAGGACTACTCGGAGAGGACGACTCAGAGAGAGAGAGAGAGAGGACGACTCAGAGAGAGAGCGGACGACTCACAGAGAGAGAGGGAGAGAGAGAGGACGACTCGGAGGCGCCAGGAGGAGGAACCACAGACAAGCGCGGAAGGCAGCGGCAGCAGCAGCGGCGGTGACCTGATGCCAAAATTCCCCTCTCCAAGCTCCGTGGGTCCTCTCCGTGCCAAGATGTTAACGGGCAACGAACGAGCGTCCACATACCACAGGAAAATCGCAGCGGCGCCCGGAGACAAGCCACGCACGCGAAGGGTGAGGGGGGAGGGCGACACGCTCGATCCCCGCACGGGAGGAACAGGTGGGCCGTCCACACGTTGGCGTGCAGGCCTGCTCCTGGGCTAGCCAGGGTTACGGGAGCTTCACAGCAACATCTGCGTGCAATCCACCAACCCCTCCCCCCCGCCGCCGCCAGCGCCGGATTGCAGGTGGCCGCGTGCGTAGCCCAACCAACGCCACGGTCAGCCGGTACAGCCGGGCCAAGCCATCGATTTGAAACGATCCAGCGACCCTTGCCGTGAACCTGCCCTCGCTGTGTCTCCGATCCATGCATTTCTCTCTTTCCCACTCCCCACCCACCACCCACCACCCAGTAGACACACGTAAGCTATATACATATTTTTTTCTAGATTTGAAGCTTTCGTGACTGCAAGGATTCATACTCTTGGGCTTTTTCGGTAAAGTCACGTCGGTAAAATTTTTTATTAATAGAAGTAATAGTAGAAATAAAATAATAAATCACGACGTTTCGGAGGCAACACAAGCCTCTGTCATCAGGTGGGACCGTCACAGCTAAATTTACTCACTTGTTTCTATTATTACTTCTATTAATTTCATTTTTATTTTTTACCTACGTGACTTTACCGAAAAAAGCCTAAGAGTACATATTTTTTTATTTTCATAAACCCAATAGAGTTTTTAAGAACACGCTGGGCGCGCGTGAAAGATGCAAGAGGCGCCGTTGTTTTTTATATTTTTCCCCCCGCCCACCCAATGCATCCGCGGAGTCTCCGAGGCGAGCCTTCGAAAAGTCGCCGCCCGGGAAATCCATCCCCGCTGCCAATTACGGCCTCGCCGCGCGCACGAGCGGCCGTCTCTCTCCGAATTAATTACGCGCATTTATTCTCGCGGACGTCACGCTTAATGGGACACCCACCCCCCCTAGCGCAGCCGTCTAAAGCACACAGCCCATTAGTCAACGCCGCCGCCGCCGCTTCCTGCAGGGAGCAGGTGAGCGGAGGGAGGGAGGAGAGGGAAGAGAGGGAGGGAGGAGAGGGAGGGGAGGGAGGGAGGAGAGGGAGGGGAGGAGAGGGAGGAGAGGGAGGGAGAGGGAGGGAGGAGAGGGAGGGAGGAGAGGGAGGGAGGAGAGGGAGGGAGGGAGGAGAGGAGAGGGAGGAGAGGGAGGGAGGAGAGGGAGGGAGGAGAGGGAGGGAGGAGAGGGAGGGAGGAGAGGAGAGGGAGGAGAGGAGAGGGAGGAGAGGGAGGGAGGAGAGGGAGGGAGGAGAGGGAGGGAGGAGAGGGAGGGAGGAGAGGGAGGGAGGAGAGGGAGGGAGGAGAGGGAGGGAGGAGAGGGAGGGAGGAGAGGAGAGGGAGGAGAGGGAGGGAGGAGGGGGAGGGAGGAGGGGCAGGGGGAAAGGGAGGGAGGGAGGGAGGGAAGGCCGGCACGGCACACAACGAGGTGGGTGGCCAGCACCACGCCCGGCCGCCTTTGTCTCTCTAGTGGCGATATTCACGTATCGCACCAGGTACTCATTTGAGGCCAAGTCGAACCAGGGGGAGGCACAGGACCGGTTCAGATAATCATCACACCGGGGTTGGCCGTGAGCGGGAATCGAACTCGGGCCGCCGGGTTCGTAGCGCAGCGTAGCGCTAACGGCTACACTACCGCTCACCACACACAAACAACAACAACAATCACCATTCGCCACTAAGTGGCGGTGATGTCACCACGACGCTTGTGCCAGGCCATGTGCACCTTGAGGCTGCCACGTGAAGTGTCGAACGCCCGCTGGCAGGAGGTCACGGGGCAGACCCAGCAGGTGCCACGGGTCGACTGACCGAGATGACCGAGATGACTGGCTGATGCACCACCTGTGCCCCCTACTGTGCCAACTTGCTGTGCTTTAGCCACCCGGCGCTCCGCTCGTTGTTGTGAGAGACGAGCGAACACACTGACACACACACACGCACCACCTGCTTCACAGCTCCCATAGCGACATCGGGACTAGAGTAGGCCTCCATCCTGTGCCAGAGTCACCGGGCGTAAAAATAATATTTCGCCAAATTCGCCAAATTAGTCGACTGGGATTACGCTCAGCAACATCGCCACCCGCCCTCTGCAGCCAAACGACTGCACCACGTGTCTGTCGGGGTCGTAGCAGCGCCTTCTCCCATGGGGGGCGGATCGCCCTGCGCCGCAAGAGTGGCAGCTCCAGTAACAAATGCACGAAAGGTGGTGGTGAGGACGACTTGGTCAACCACTGCACTCGCTCACCCACACTGTGTTCAACCACTACACCACCATCACCACCTACACCACCTACACCACCTCCACCATCACCACCTACACCACCTACACCACCTCCACCACCTCCACCACCTCCACCACCTCCACCTCCACCATCACCACCTACACCACCTCCACCATCACCACTTACACCACCTCCACCATCACCACCTACACCCCACTCGCCCACACTGTGTTCAACCACCACCACCACAATGGGGGCCACAACAACACACTCACACACTCACTCTCTCACTCGCCCATTCACCCACCCACTCACCGACTCACGCACCCACACGGTGTTCAACCACCACCACACTGCAGGCCACAACAACAACAACACCCACCCACCATTGGAACCTCATTTGCCAGTAAAAAATATGATAATTGATTTTTTACCCTTCTATCTGGCAACAAAACTGACACCTTTTTTACAAAGAGTCATGTTTGCATAGACCACAATACCTGCAGTCATAATGCAAACAAAAAACACAACTCTGATAATGTATGCACTGTCCTTGATGTTGATTGGTCCACACCCGAGACAGCTTTCCTTAGAGCCTAGTCTCACATGGTGTTGGACCAAATGACGCCAAAAGGCGCACAACTGAAAGACAATGCACCATCAGAGTATGAGAGCTCGGGGTAAGCATTTACACCATTGGAACCTCATTTGCCAGTAAAAAATATGATAATTGTTTTTTTACCCTTCTATCTGGCAACAAAACTGACACCTTTTTTTTACAAGGAGTCATGTTTGCATAGATCACAATACCTGCAGTCATAATGCAAACAAAAAACATAACTCGCAACGAGAGAATATTTCCCCCTCTGTTCGGCTCAAGAACGACGGCTCTAAATAAATGTAACAAAAATAAAAATGTAAACTCACACAATCCGTCAATCGCACTGCGTGGCCTTGAATGGGGGAAGAAACGAAATAAATAGAGAACGGGTGACACTTCGGGACCGACGGCCCTGCTGCCTGAACGGTGCGTGCGCTGATGGAGGTCCATCGCCCGAAACGTCACCCCCGCTTTAAAGATATCCGTTTTCTTTCGAGGCCGTGCGTGCAAGCGCGGCGTTGTTGCCGCTGCCGCTGCTGCTGACACGCGCGTTAGGTTTGACGCTGCTGCTGTAAACCCTTTCCCGGTGCGATGTCGTACCTGCGTGTACATCATCATTTAACCCCCCCCCTGTCTGTCCGTCTATCGAAGACCGAAACCGGAGGAGGATTTCTCCACAACTCTGTCGCTGTCCCTGCCTGATGATGCCGCCGGGTGTTGTTGCTGTTGCTGTGATCACCGGCGAAACGTCACGGTTACTCGGATTGTAAATGTTGTCGTGGATTTACTCTCCAAC